TATAAGTTTAGTGCTTACCTGAGACAGCGTTTGTTAGCCTGGACTCCACGCATTAAGTGGCTGAATATCGCTTTACACTATATAAACTTTTATAGCTTAAAGAAAAAGTATCTCAAACTAAGGCATTATAATTTTTATTTCGTTTTGACCGTGGAAGAAGTGTCATTTACGATATATTAACGATTACATTATTCCTATCTTCAAACCATCCTGAATCTAATGATGAGTTCAATGCCTATCTTTTTTTTGTGTTAAAATAGCGACCCCAAACATATCTTATATAGACTAAGGTAGTGACTACTAATACTACTAAGAACTCTCTTAATCTTGAAATCAAGTAATGAGATATAAGTTCAGTTACCGCCCACATCTCTGCTAAAGCTTGAATATGCTTCTACCTCATTTAAGATAGAGGTTATAAATTGCTTATTCATTGTTTTTGTACTATATCCATTGGGTATAATTTCTTGCAAATTTCTATAGTTCTGTAGCAGAAACCCAATTTAGAAATTATAAGTCTAGCAAAAAGCCACAACTTACCCTGACACAGAAAAAGTACGCATTTTCTGGAACTAGTGAAGAAGAACGGAGCTAATTAAGTTCTTCAACAGATTGAGAGGCACTGAGTACTTAACACTTGAGACAATATATGACGACTCATAACTAAGTGCTAAGATGATTTCATTTGGTCACTAACGCTTGCATATACAAGTATAGATGTGAGAGCATCTATATACCATATACCAGTCAATATCAGAGCGCACATGTTTTCAATTTACAACTCACCGAATATTTGCAAGAGATTTTATAATAAATGCTAACGGTGAATAATTAAATTAAAAAATTATCCTAAAAGCCAGTAATTGGTGAAGCGCTTCGACGGAATGATGGCTGTTATTGCAAAAGTCCCCATCTACTAATATATATGAATATACACGAGCATTTGTGTTTCAATTCCCGCTTCGGCTTTTATGTAAACCACTCTCATACCATTTAACTAAATTTTGATTGTTGTTCATTATTTGGGGCCAGTCGAAAACCTAATTCCTTGCTATGTTATTGTTGCTGACTCCTACTGGCCGCCAACGCTTTCACACGATTACTTAACTCGCTGGCTTAGCAAGCCATTTGCTCAATCTCTTTTTAGATATCACTTTAATTGTTGTTGTAGAAGTGAAAAGGTTCAAGGTTCTCGGTGGCTGTGTTTGCGTGTCAAAGTCAGTCATCGCGACAACGATAAGGCTGTTCGCTTTTCGGCTTGGCACTCGCCTGCAGAATTTTGGCAACATCCAAACGCCTATTTAAAGTGTATGTGTGTGTGTGTGTGCAAGCAAACACACGAATATCCACACCGTATACCGTTATGCGCGCGTGGTAATTGGGGCGAGAAGAAGTTAACAGTGATTTTGTGAAGCATTGCGCCAAAATATTCCGAATGCAAAATGTGCGGTTTTATGCAAATGACACACTTAAACCCCAAACCACCATACCCCGCTGCCAGCTGCCTGCCATTTGGCAAGTGGCAAGTCGACACATAGCTGTGCAGCATCTTAAGTTTAACGCCACAACTTGAGGCAACTTGTCTGCAGAGCCGAACCATTTCTCTGCGGGTGTGAGATCTAATTTGGTGCTGGCGTTTCAACGGAATTTCACTCGCTTTACTCTGTTTCGCATTTTGCAAATACTCGAATTTCGAAATGCACACTTGTGCAAACACACTCCCACTCACGTTGATGCGAAGTTTATAGATGTTTATGACATAACTACTCGGTTTATTTGAACATGCGTACGCCGGACTTCTCGTGACTCCGGCTTGGTGTTACACAAGACCACTTGCGAATCGTTACCGTCTCACGAAGGGGAAAGTTACCATATATATATATATATATTAAATAACATTTAGCAAGAAAAAAAATTACATTCCCGTTATTTATATATACATACATATACAGTAGTAGTCGAGGCACTTAAAAACCCAATGAAGAAAGTCCAGCTGAAAGTCTGAAAGTTTGTTGGTTTTAAGAGAGCTCGGCAGTACAATTCCGTTAATTGATATTCACATGTGTAAACTCTTCTTATTCCCATTTAACTTGAGAACCAAAAGTTGGAATTTCCCACTGTGGCCAAAAAGGAAACGAATGTTCTAACGATGTGTTCAAACTGTGTTTGCGCAATTCCGTTTTGAGCGAGTCTAAAAACACAAATCAAAGTGCTTTTAGTCGGGATTATTAACGTTCTCTCTCTGCAATCTATACTATATACCTATAGAACATATACTTGCCCATAACTTTTAAATTAAATCAGAATTAGAATTCGCTACACAAACAAGTTCTTGAAAGAGGTTTTTCATTATTTGAATAATTAAAATAAACAACAAATGGAACATGTTTTACACTTAAGCATATTTGAGTACAACCATTCATTATGTTCTTATGAATTCGGTCGGCATCTTATTTTCTTTCATTTGAGCTTATATAAGTTTAGGCCTTTCCACAAAAACCCATGTCTTTTATAATATATAAAACGAAGGAAAGTGATGTGGAGTAAGTATGTGTGTACACATGTGGACTGAGCTGGTGGGTTACTATTTTCGGTTTCCCGCTGTTAACTTTTGAGGATGAGTGGGAGAAGAAAAGTCTGATTCTGATTCTGATTCGAACAATTTGCATTTTTTTGACATTTCTTGAATAATTTTTCTGGAATTTGACCGCCTTTTATTCTGAGAAATAACGGCATCAAGAACAGAAATTATGGCATTAGAAAGATAAAATTACGTACTAAAAAGCTATTCAGATAGTTTTGTGATTACTTGACACAATAATGTTTAATCACGCACCAAAACTGGACAACAGCAAAGAGAAAATACGCCATTGACTCCTTTTCTTCTTTCTTCGATATAGGCGAAAACGTAAGCCAGGCAGTTGGATATAAGATGGATGGAGACTTTATCTTCATGATACTTTAACAGCCAATCACGCTTAATTTTTGTTTCGACAATTCCTTTCCGGTAATTTTGATGTCACAACATCAAATCGGTCCATTTCGGAAGCGGATAGTTACTCAGGATTGTTTGATTCAAAAGTGGATCAAGAGAAAACGTTCGCGGACGAATCGCATTGAGCCGACGCAAACGTTGACCAAGCCAAGATTGACAATCAGGAAAGTTTTGGTTGGTGTGTTTGGGCGGAAATTATCTGCTATGAGCTGCTCCACTACGACCAAATTCTGAATTCGGACCTACACTGTCAACAGTTATAGGGCTTGAAGGAAGAATAACCCAAAGTGGCCAATAAGAGAGAAATTGTGTTACTGCAGAACCGCGCCAGACCGCACACATCGAAAGTGACTCGCCAGAAGCTCGGGGACTTTGATTGCGGAGTTCTTATGCATCCACCTTATAGTCCGGAAATGGCATCAACTGATTACTACCTTTTCTAACTATAGCGAATGGTTTTGCTGGTGAAAAACGGACGAGAGACATTATGAAATCACCTTCAAAATGGCAACAAGTTATCGAACAAAATGGTGAATATTTGGCGTAAATTGTACCATTCTAACTATGTTAAATAAAATCTTAAATTAAATGCAAAAATAGCGGATTTCTTTGCTTTTTCTTTACAACGATCGAAAAATACTTGAAGAACTGTGTATCATTTGATTCATAACGGAGGTATAATAGTGAGAAGTGGGAACGAAAACGTAATAAGTACTACATATTACACTAATATCAAAGCATTATGTTTAAAATTCCGAGCGAATTCTAAAGTCTTCCAAAGTCGCCAAATTCTTGAACTTTGAGGAAGACCAATAAAAAATTTCGGTCGCGAAGTATTGTATTTTTAAGACGAAATTGCTTATTTTTTATGATGACGCTCTCACCCATAAAAAGTCTGCGTACGTATCGATGAGTGCATGTGCACTAGCTGGGTGAGGTTATTAAATACAAAATGTAGAATAAGATAAAGTGCGTAACATTGTCGACGCACACATTAAAGGTATCATAGCGCGTATTTAGGTGAGGTCATGCGTGAGATTGATACAAATTTACGACGCAGACGAGCAATTTCAGTTCGTTTTAGGTTAAAAATTCTATTGTAAGTTTAGTCATCATTTTAAATGACCGAAAATATGAAAATAAATTGTGAATAGATACAGCTGAAGCGGAAAAGACCTCCAAGTTGCATGCTTCCATTTTAGATTCGAGTATTTTTATTTATGTATATTAAGAGAGATGGCAATCATGAGCTAGAATTTATTTAGGAGTCCAGATATGTGTAAAATATTGTGCACTGTGGAGTAGAGAAAGGCCTTGCCACTCCAATGCAACAGTTCAATGCACTTCCTGCTTGCCACTTTGTTAGCGTCTGTTGCTATTACATAGTTGCCATATTTCCAATTGAATTATTGCAGAACACCTATGTACCCAAGTATGCGGCTTTGCACATGACATATCAAGTGCATTCGCTTCTCGAGTGTGTTAGTTTGTTCGATTACTAATGCGACTGCACTTGCATTCGGACCCTTTGTCATCCTTGTATTTGCTACTGAATCCGTCATGCGGTATTTGCTACTGAATTAAACACCCGCAAGATATTCTCTCTCGCTCTTCATTGCTCCATTTCACTGCCAGCTCATCAATTACCTCGTTTTAACATAACAGTGACTCTCATGTATGGCAATGATGCAGTGTTTGGGATCTCAAAAGGCTTAGGCGAAATTCTCGTTACCGTTTGTAGTGTGACTATTATGGGACACTTTGTTTTAAAATATTATAGATTTGTTTCGTAATAGTCTTCTGCTAAATTATTGCTTACACCGAAAATGTAGTTTCTTACATACATAGCTGAACCCTTATTATAAGCTTACAAGCTTTGATCGGTTTCGAAGCTTTCCCCCAACCGTCCCCAACCAAAAAGAAAGTTAGCGTAAAGCTTTGTACTGTTCCAGAGTTGTAGTAGTTCATAACTCTGGGGAGGCTTATTGACCATATGTTTAAGGCATTAGCTGTTGTTGTACTTACCTTTGTACATGGGAAACTCGCCATCGCTGTGGCTGTGGCACAGCATCATTGGTGATCGACAACGGGAGCGTTCCACACTCGTGGTGACCTGTATGCTGCCACCGCCCCCGCCGCCGCCGCTAGAGTTCTTTGCATTTGCATTGGATGAGGCGGCAGCTGCTGCTGCTGCTACGGCTGCGGCGGCCGCTGATGCCGAATAAGAGCGTGACACGTGAGAGAGTGTGCGGCGTCTTATGGTGGTGGCGGTATGTTGTGATGACGAGCGGTGATGTTGCGGCGTAGAATGTTGGCGATGGTGATGATGCTGTTGCTGCTGCTGCTGTTGTTGTTGCTGTGCTTGCTGCTGCGTTGCCTGTTGCTGCTGCTGCTGCTGCTGTTGTTGGTGTTGTTGTTGCAATTGCTGCTGTTGTACAACAGCTGCCACCATGGACTGATAGCGATGACTTCCGGCGCCGCCCAGCGAAACATGATGCTGCAACGGCGGATGTGCGTGTGGCGCCAATGGTGGATGCGAGTGTTGATGTTGCAATTGCTTTTGTTGTTGCTGCTGTTGCTGTAACAGTGCAACGCTAGCGGTTTGGTGATGCACATGCTGATGTGCATGTGTATGGGTGTGCGCGTGGGCGTGTTGGTGCGGGTGCGAATGGGTGGCATGCAAATGCGAGTGCCCTCCCCCGCCCGTAGCCGAACTGTTGCCACCTGCCGAGATGCTACTACCGACGCCGGCGCCAGCGCCAGCTGCGCCCTGTACGTGTTGGTGGTGTTGATGATGTTGTTGCAGCTGCCGTTGTTGCAACTGGTGCATCAATTGTTGTTGTAATTGCTGTTGCAGTGGCTTAATGCCAGCGACAGTGGTGATTGGCGCTACGGTGGTTGTTGTTGTGGTGCCACCACTGGCCAGTGACGTCGTGCTGCCAGAACCGTGACCGCCGCTGCCGACATTGCCAGCAGCACTCACAGCGACAGCCGGATTCTTCTCCCATGGCCCGTTATTATCTGTGGTATAATCCAGTTTGCCAAATACTTCGCCCCTCGTACAGCTAACGGTTTTTGTCCAAGACAAAATGAACGCTATGCAATTGTTGTTGAGCTAATTTTGTAGATTTTCGGTCGCCTATCTTAGAAACGTCTTTGAGCATTCAGATTCGTTGGTGTTTTAATATATTTCACTTCGTTAATATTTAATTTAAATAAATTAAATTTTTTTCGGTGTATTTTTTTCTGTATTTCGAATTTTAATCTTAACACCTTCTTAACTTCGATTATTTTATTTCATTTTTTTCTAAACTATCTGCGAATTTCGCACATGCGTGTCGTTGAACTTTTCCAATTAAAATTACTTAATTAATAGCCGAGAACCGAACAAAATCAAACATTTTGCGCCAAACTTGCACGAACGCACAAAAACTCTTTGCACTTTGCTCGACTTGATTTTTCACTTTAATCGTCAGCAGCAGCTCCATCGGCAGAAAACCAAATAATTACTCGCGCGAATAGGAAAACTTCGGCACTTTTTATTTCAAAACCGATACCACGAAGAGTTAAACTTCGGCAGCGACTTTACAAAACAGCGACAATTTTTGATTCATATTTTTAGAAGAATTTTAGGAACTGAATTACTATAAATGTTGATGACGATGTTGTACAAATTTTTCCGCATAAATAGCGAAACGTTTTTTCTCCGTGCCTCTCTCGTGCTACCAGTGGTTATCTGTCGAATAAAACCAGAATAAAGTAAAGAGAGAACTGGGAGGAGTTGGTAGAATCTTGGACTGAGATCTGCGCTAGTTTTAGGCAGAAGTGAGAGTTTTGAGGCAACTGTTGCACTTGTTTAATAGCTAATTGTGCATTTTTTGGCGACTAAGTTTTAATTCGGTCAGGAACTGTTTGGGTGTTCTTAAATGCCTTTCAAGGATGCTCTCAAATGACTAGCTATAAAAAGGGCTTCCAGAGCTCTTCTTGCAGAACAGTGGTGGGAACAGTTAAAGGTCACAGCTTTTAAAGTAAGGAGCTATAAGAAACACTGATCGACGGAAGTCTAAATGTTGAAATTCGTAAAAACTATATAGGATACGATGCAGCTGGCGAAAAAACAGTTTAGAATCAGGTAGCTAGGGGTTTAAATGAGTATGCTATATATGTATGTATGTACTACTAATCACTTCTATATGATGAAGCGGATCTTATAGACAAATCTATCTAATCATCAGTAATAAGTTTCTCATTCATCGATCACGCAACATTTTGTATATTTGAAGTTATTTTTTAATATTTTTAAAGCTAAATCATCAATCTATATTTAATTAAAGAGACAATATATTGTTGCACAGAACATAAAAATTTGTAATATGGGTAACTAAATGTTCACTTAACAATTTTATACGTATGTACATATCTACAGATATATGGAGCCAATACATTTGTAAAATTATTTTGCCTTCTTTATTTCAAATATTGATACTACACTTTTTTACACACTTGTGTACACAAACATACTTAAGTATGTTACACATTGACTGGGTGCCAGCGAAAATCAGCAAACGTATACTTTTCAAATATTTGCCACAATATTTCACCGTTATAACAACAGCTGACAATGGAAGCACATTAAAATGCTCATAAAAGCTCATCGATAGAAATTTAGCGCAAATATTTTAACACTTTAGAGGGATAAGGTCGATGGCTTTTGATATTTATGTTTCACAATTTCACTAATTTCACTTTCCTCATCGCTTCCAAAGTAAACAAGCGAGCGCACACACATTATTCACATGTACAATGTGTACCACAGAATTCGCTCAATTGGACTATCGAATTAACCGTGTTAACCGTCCGCTTACCAAACTTCGCTCTGGCACTAACGAAACGAAACTGATTTGAATGAATTGATGTCATTCACACAATCGTCAGGATGCTGTATCCTTAAACGCAACTTCATGCATCGGTTCATGTGGCTGTGCATGTGCTCGTACTTGGCGAGAGTTGTAAGCAACTGGCTCGACCACTCAAAAAGCCAAACACTCGTTTCACGTTGACGCTGCTCTAATTTTGTCGGCAGTATTCGGCCAAAGCTCGCCGCCATTCACATCCGGTAGTGGTGGAGGGAATTTGAGAGTACGAGCGTAGTAATGTATGCGCTACAAAGCTTTCGATTCATTGGAGCATATCGTGCATTGTTTCAGTTTTTGAACCTATTGTAAAAAGTCTCGGAGGACTAACTTTGATTATGTTCAAATGTAGGTAAATTTGTATTGAAAACACTATATAGTATGCAAGGTATACATACATACATACGTATGTATGGAAGTTCGTGCAAAAATAGCATCTCTTATTTTAACATTTTAATATGTTAGTTTATATCGGTTGACCCATTTCCTTTGGTTAGAGTTATTCCAATTATACCACGCATTCGTTTTGTATGGATGTGGCAGAATTCCACACTTCAATAGAGCTTTGCTCGTATCGTCGTTGATGGTATTTGGTCTAAGTAATTATTATACCCATTTTCACATGAAACTTTCGCTTATTTTCTACCTTTTGAATGCAACGCTGTTTTTGAAAAATTCAAAAATGTCTGGTAACGACATTATATATTATAATAAATATAATCAGGCCTTGGCTCTTTTAAATAATCAGAAATTCAGTTGAGTATTATTGTTACGATCAGAAAAAATACAAACTTTATGTATAAAACTTTGTACCCACATTATCATACAAACAGCCCAAAACCAATAAAAGGATTCTATGGTTTCTAGTGCTGCAAATAATGTGTAAAACTACAAAAGGGTCCTCACTCGAGAACTGACATTCAAAATAAGGGAACAGAGTTGCACTAATGAACAGAACAGAATCGGATAAGTGGGACTAATGTATGGGTGAATGAACTTTCAGGCGCACACAAATACGCGAATGCGAATTGTTATTGTTGGCATTGTCTCTCAATAAAAGCTCGCTCTCTCTTAAAAGTGCGCTCACTCACATTCTCGTCGCTATGACTTTGGCCGGAAATTGTGACACACAATTATGACCAAATGCAAGAAACCGAAAGCACTATCACAACTCGGTAACGACGCTGATAATAAGGATATCACTTTTTATTGCCCAGACGTATATTAATGAAGGTTGAATGATAACCCATGCACTTGTATTTGTGTAAGCAATCACAGAAGTGCAGTAACACTGCCACGGCAGAGTTATTTTTTTCGTGTAGACCAGGTGACACATTTCATTGAAGAAGGTTATGTTGAAGTTTTCGTCGTGATTTTAACAAACTACAACTCTTTATAACTTTTAGCAGTAGAACAACAGATCCGATAACAGTGACATATATTATACATATGTATATCCCATATATACATTTTCCTTAAATAAAAATTATAAAATACTTAAATAATTCCGTTTTATGTTTAACACATTTTTATTGTAAAAGATTTGAATATTATATTAAAGTTAGTTTCTATCACTTGAACTTTGAAAGCGACCATATTCGCTAGTTTAAATTTTGTTTGTAAATATTTTTATTTCCAAGAGTATTTCTTTACTAACCCGACGGAGCTTGTGCAGTTCCTTAGAGCGCAAATACTTGTAGATTTCAATACGAAGCTCTCTCGGAATTCCCATAAAACTTGGTAACGGAAAAGCGCCCAATAAGGTCAGCTGATCCACACGCATCGGCACGAATAATTCATTTCGCAGTTGATTTTGCAACTGATCTAACTTTTGATAACAGTTGTCTAGGCTTTTTTTACCTTCCGACTGATCTATAACGTAGCGTCCAATGGACAGACAACTGCTGTGCCCCAGCAAGTTTGTTGATGGATGTGGCGACAAGGTGACCATCATAAAGTCACCCGTTACTATTGCAATTAGTTGAGATTTCAATTTATCTTCCTCTTCGGATTTAAAAGTTGTAATGAAATTTTCTGAAAAATAAGTCTCATGCGGGGAATCGCGATGATATGATGGCGGTTGACTACAACAGATTTTCACATTGTTTTTATGAGTTGTGGACCAAGAGTCAATAGGTACTAGGCCCTTTAGTCGATTAACAAAGAAAGTTTGCGGTATAAATCCCGTTTGCAGGGCAATAACGTAGACGGTCATAAATAAGCAATGCGCCTGAGACAGTACTTTATTTTCAGATAACTTATAAAGCTCGTTAAGACGCTCCAGCAATGATTTTGTACCGTCATTGTGTTCGTTCCCTTCCATTATCTGTAATTAAATCATAAAATGAAAATACTTTGTAGTTTTGTGTGTGCTTTCTTCATTATTATGTTATAAATTTTTCGATTTTACTATATTTTCATATTTTGCCACAAATGCCTATCGAAAATGAAAAAGCTGTATAAGCTGATATCTATTTGCCTTACAAAGCATATCATATCAATGTAAAAGACAACCAATGATCCTCCATCCAACCGTTTTTTATTTAATTTCCGTTATAAGGTATTGAAACTTCTCATATTATTGTACGATGGGTTTAATGTCTTATTTTTGCAGAATTTATTTGTGAACTAAATACAAGCTTTAATTAATGTGTTTCTACCGAACTTTCAAACTTAATAATAACAAATATTTTCAAAATTTTTTAAATAGTAACAAAGTGATTGTGTTTGTAAATATGTAAATGCCAAGAATGGAGAATGAGATCTATTGTGAACGCCGAGGAGTTCGAACCAATCGTGAATTCTCTCAGCGATCGTTTGAAATAGGAGCTCAGCCAAAGAAATAGACAAATTGCGTATAAGATTAATTAAATCATTTATAAGCAAATATTTTATATATGTAGTACAAGTATTCAATTAATGATAGTCGATATAAGCTTCCGTCAATATGACGTGTATGAATACATATGTATGTCCATGTGAAACCTTTTTAATTTTTGACATGGAAAATTAAGATTGTAGCAAATTATTTAGCTAATTTCCTATTCTTACATACTCACAAAGAATATTTAGATATGAATGCACATACATATATGCCTATACACATATAATGTGTGTGTAAAACTAATATATATGTATAATATACTAATGCTCAAACAGTATTAAAGCTATATTCACAAATGCATAGCAGCCACATTACGACGCATTCACCTTTTTACTTTCCAGCTGATTTTATAAATCATTGTGGTCTAAATATTTTTTTCTGCTAATGAACTATTTTGAAACCTTAATGAAATTGTTGTTAAGAAGTGTTTACCTTTACCAAGGATGACATGATACGAAACTCTCAGGAAAAGTTTATCCCGAATTAATGAACATTCTATGGATGTACTTCCCTACAAAAAAGCGCTGCCACTTTAGAATTTTTCACTAGTTAACTATTTCACAATTTCGTACTAAAAATGTACTAAATGAATTTTCTCTTAAACAAATTCTGAGATATAACCCTATGTTAGACCAATTGGCTTCGGTTATTTTCTAATTTCATTCGTATTTGAAAGTGGTCGTAACCCAACAATTAGAATAATATTACAATAATTATTTTATATGCAAAATCAACTCAGCTGATATATTGACAATCAGGGAATAGATTTGACAATTCAATCGCTGTCGGGCTGCCACATCAACTTTTTATTCGAGCTGGTCGTTTCATATTCGAATTTCGAAATATGTATTTTTGTATTTGATACACAAGTTTCTATATATACAAATATAAATTTATTAAATCCACTTGTAATGGAGATGTATTAAGATGTTTTCTGAACCATATCTAGAAACCACATACACGTATACTTGAATATTTCAATTATATTAATTTTGCAGTAAAATTGTAGTTCACAATATTATTTTATTGTACAGTAATTTAAATATTATGATATCAGAATTTTCAAAATTGTAGATTCACTCAAACAGCCAATTATTTTATTTAAATCTCTTTTCATAGAAACTTCATCAAACAAAAATATGTTTATTGTTATTCTCTTCCAAATCGATTTCTTCTAAATCTGTCTGTTCGTTAGGTCCATTGTGGACGCCCTCTTTGTAGCTTTCCATATTCATCTTTTCTATTTCTGCATTAAATTGTTTCGACACTTCGGACAAATTTTTTAAATCGTTTTCATTTAGATATCCGTAGAGGACCTCACGAATCTCCAATGGCAGACCACTAATTGAAGGATAGGGATTTTCCTCCAAATACGCTAATTGCTCATTGCGAACTGGCATAAAAACTTCGTCCCGTAATTGTACAGTTAATTGATCTAGTTTTCTAAAATACCGAGATATCGGTTCACGCGAGGTTAAATGTGATATAATATAACGGTTAATTGGCAAACAAGAACTAAAGCCCCTCAAATTATTTGGAGTCGGAGTTAGAGTAACAAGTAGATAATCCCCACTTACAAGAGCCGTAAGTATTGAGTAAAGAGAACTATGCTTTAAATTTCGATTTAGCACACGAAGCTCGGTGGAAAAATATGTTTCATGAGGGCTCTTGAACTGATACATAGGCTTTTCCCTACTTAGAAATAATACATTTTTTGACTGATAGGTAAAGAAGGGTGGAATTGGCGAAAGCACACGACAAAATTTCTTAAATAGATGCTTCGACACAAAACCACACTCCAATGCAATAAGGTAAACAATCAAAAACAGAATATGTGCTGGAGAGAGAATATCAATTTTATAGAGACGAAGTAACTGACGCAGATGAAGAGGAGAACATTGTATTGTCGTATCCGAAAGAAGTAATTGTTTCAAATTTATATCTTCCTGAATAATTTCTGTTGGTCTTGTATATCGAAATGCTGGAAGGAAAATATTGCGATATACATGAGATGTTCTGTGAAAAAGTATGTTTTTATAAGTGTTTTACATATAAGAAAGTAATACAATAGAGTATCTTAAATTGACCTATTAACTTGGCAGTGTAAAATAATCGCATAACAGAAATCGATTTTTAAGGACGATCATTTTCACATTTTGAAATTCGAATATAAATTTTGAACAATCCGCCACAAAAAGGGTATAAAGCCAGGTAAATGAGTTAATAAGTATTAATCACGTACCTAAATTTGAAGACGTCGTTGGCCCTTCCAACTGTGGCACTGGTTGTCCAACAATGAATAGAGACCTTGATGTGCAGGGCAATTCAGGGCAATGTAATCGTAACCAACAATCTGTGCGAGCACAGCATTGAAAATTATTGCACGAAAAATTTCGACGTTCCATTGGCCACTGTCATGAACTGCAGCAATATATGTATATATAAATGTCTTCAAATATTTACTAAATTTGCAGCATTATTCCGAAAGAAAATAGAAAAAGAAAATTAATGAAATAAGGAAATTTCAGTTGAATCTGATTGTCTATCAACAGCAGAACGGAAAAGAAAGACAATAGTGGGTTTCGAATTAACATGGCAAACAATAAAATAGGGAAAAAATTTGGGCATTCTCTGAAAATATTTAGTTATTAGTATGTACTTGTATGTTGTTATTTTCGTGAATCCGTAAGCAAACATACATATATGGTCATATTGTTTTTGCCACTACAATTAAAGCACTGCAGATTTCACTAGTATGGTTAATGAATGGATAAACATAAAAAAATCGTATTTTCACTCATTACTCGCTGGTATGATGTCTGACTAAGTGAATGAAATTTGTTTGACGCACCGAGTGCATGGTGTAACCTGCCCTTAAACTACATAGCACGCATAATTATACAGCATGTTGAAACAACTGTTTTAAGGGGCAATTCACTTCATTTTACAGGGGCAATTAAACTAGCATTTTTAATAATTATAACACGTATATAAATAAAAAAAAATTGTCACTAACGAAATTTTGTGTAAAGGGTGGAATATTCGAAGTAAGAATGTCAAATAATGAATGAAAAACGGAATGTCAGACGGAAAATAGAATTGCTATACTCGCATGAGAAGTATATGTGTGTGTGATAACTTTTTGGTGTTTGTATGTATGCGTGTGTATGTCAATTGGACAGTTCCGAATTTTCTTTCATCCTTCAAAAAGTCTTGTTGTACCTCCAATAGCCACGATGGCGGCGAATTTAGGAAGAATCTGTGGCTCCAAATTATTAGGAACTTCGGGAGCAGTTGGTTTCCAACAGGTACTTCAACTCTTTATACAATAATTTTGAAATAAACGTGAAATTTGATTAGGCAACGGTTCAAAGTGTGGGAAAAGACATTGCTCTTGGTTAGCAAAAATTATGCATTTTCAGAATTTATGTAAAATTATAAATTATATCTTAAAATGTTTAAAATAAAATACACACTCTGTAGTGTATTTTAAAATTGTGAATTTCGTGTCATACAAAATATATGTTACATTTGTAGAGGCTGGAAGGTTTTCTTGCGTTGCTTACATAACAAGGCAGAATAGAGGCTATTATAGAGTGACATAAAATTGTATTAGCTTATATGTTGTTGCGAAATTCTACCCGCAAAAAATATTAAACTTTTTTTTTTAGATTGTTGAATTATAAATTTATTAAATTTTTTTGTTATTTCCAGGCCAAACAGCTGTCTACCGCTAAGGCATGGACGAATGGACAAAAGAAGGTTTGTGTAATGTTGGTTTCGCAAGTGACAGAGTTTTCAATTATTAGAAATCGAACTTATTTTACGATCGGGAAAAATTGTTTTTAACTATTTCTCACTAAAAGTATTGATTCTGAACATATTTCATAATGCACCAGCAAACATAACCTCAATGTGTAATAGATCGCAACAGTTAAAAGCTAAAATTTGCAATTTCTATTACTAATCAACAATCTTTGATTTGTAATTGTGAATTACGTAATTCCTTGTATGATAAGGCCTTTTGTTTACGTGTAGCTCATCGCGTCGGTTGGTGCCGTCGCTGGAGGCTTAGGGGCTTTGCTGTTTGCTCTGGAAAGTTCAGTGGAAGCATCTGGCACAGAAGTACATCCACCATCAATGCCGTGGAACCATAAGGGTGTTATCTCCTCTCTGGACCATCAAAGGTGATAAAGTAAAATTTGTATATACACAAATTATGTATAATTCATGTTTTTTCCTTGGAATTGTAGTATCCGCCGTGGTTACGAAGTGTACAAGCAGGTTTGTTCTGCCTGTCACTCTATGCGCTATATTGCTTACCGCAATTTGATAGGTGTTTCTCACACTGAGGCGGAAGCTAAGGCAGAAGCTGAACAAATAATGGTATATTATTAATATACAAATTATGAAATCTTAATTAAGATATCGCTTATTTTAATATATGTAGGTTAAAGACGGTCCTGATGATACTGGAAACTACTTCGATCGTCCTGGTAAACTTTCTGATTATTTCCCCTCACCTTACCCTAACGAAGAGGCTGCTCGTGCTGCCAATAACGGTGCTTATCCACCAGATTTGAGCTACATTGTATCAGCTCGCAAAGGAGGTGAAGATTATGTATTCTCGTTGCTTACTGGTTATTTCGATGCTCCAGCTGGTGTGGTGTTGCGTGAAGGACAGTACTTTAACCCGTACTTCCCCGGCGGTGCTATTTCCATGGCTCAAGTGCTATACAATGAGGTAGCTAAATAGTAAAACAATTTTTTTTTATACAATTTGTAATAAATTATTGTTACTTTCAAGGTTATTGAGTACTCTGATGGTACACCTCCAACTACGAGTCAATTGGCAAAGGACGTAGCCACCTTCCTTAAATGGACTTCTGAGCCAGAACACGACGATCGCAAGCAACTTACAATTAAGGCATTTGGAATTCTTGTCTTTTTGGGAGTAATCGCATACTATATTAAGAGACATAAGTGGTCAACTTTGAAATCTAGAAAGATTGTTTTTACACCCAAAGAAAAGTAGATTGCTAAACACAATCCCAAAGAAATTAACTAAAGCATTAAAACTTCAGAAAAATTATGTAAACGAAATATGCATACCGAGCTAGCACCGCCATCAGCTGAAGAAAGCGCAAAACTTCACTGCAGGGAGAAATCATTGGCAGCAATCATAACTCCCAAAGGAACTTAGAAAATTGTTACAATTTAAACTAAAGATTACATTTAACGTAATTATTAAAAAATAAAAACCACAAATAAAATGCTAAAGATACGAAAAAAAATACTTGTTATTATTGAATAGAGAATATTCTGTTCTAAGGATTATAGGCTGTTGAATCGCACGTCCTGTCTGCGTATTGATTAAAAATCGTGCTTTTAATGATCATCAGCCATTAAATTTCTTTCTTCACGGTTTTTAGTCGAATTTCAAACAATTAAACACAATTTTTGAAATTATTTTAGGTATTGTTTTTAATGCATTTATTTACGTTTTAAGTATTATTTTATTTATAGTAATTAAGGAAAATAATCAAGAAATTTACATTTTCTTTTAGAAGCTGAATGGAAATGTAATTTATTCTACATTCAATTTACGCTTCATTAAATAGTCTTCAACTGAGTGTTATACTTCCCCCACAATTCAGAATAAAATGGGCCAGAAGGAGATAACTAAGAATATAATGAAATAAATTCTATCTAAATTTTGTAGGCAGAGAAAAAATTTAACGTATTTGTGAAAATAAATTTCTATAATGTGAAATTCCAAATTATAAGAAATCAATATTAAAGAGAACCCCTCAGTGCGAATCAATAGAACTAAAAATAAAAGCAAATTTTTTTGCAGCAGCTTTGCCGCTCTATCGGAAAATTGCCGGCTCTTAGTTTTGCACTATGAATGGTATCTTACTGCTGGTGCTTATTTCATTTGATTTCAATGTTAAAAAGCTTCAGTTAGATGCACGCTCCCAAATGCGCTTGAATTTTAACATCGTTCGCTACTTTATTTCATTTCCTTAAGTTTGCATAATTTTTTTGCAGCACATTGAATATATTATTACGCTTTTCCTCTGTATCTATTGTTCAAGTTAATATTTCATTAATTAATTAATATTTAATGCGTTTAATAATCTTAATTATGTTATGCAATTGTTTTCCTCAGCCGTGTGTGTATTATAGGCGTGTGATACTAGTGTTTATGGTGTTAATGAATTCGTAAGTTGCTATGTTTCTTTGCATATTTCGTTACTACTATAGTTCTTTTTCCCTACTTTCTACTGCTCAACGTTTCGCCATGTTTTTCTTTTTGTTTTTTAGATATTTCAGATTTGTTTCAATTTCTTCCACTTATTATTATTACTATTTTCGTTACTTTATTTCTTTGATGGTTCCATTTTCGGTTCAACTTGTTTAATTAAATTTAAGAGAATGATAATAATAATAATAACATGTTCTCAGATGAGAAGACGTTCAAGTGGTGGCGACTTATACAACGGCGACGACGTTTACGTAGAACATTTATGACTTCGGTTTTCGGCAACTTTGATGACAGCAACTGCAGGGCGACAGCATCAGCAGCGGCAACGGCAGTAGCGGCAGCTGTTGCTGAATTGTCAGTGACGACAATTGAGGTGATCAACTAAAAAACGCTGCCTTCTGGTGGTTGCGCCAATTTAAGATTCTCTTTGCAAGTCATGATTCTACGTATTTCTTGGAGCATTGATTTTATAGTATATTCCCGATTCCATCTGGCTAGCATGGGTACTAATCTATGGTCAACCTAAAAAGCGAGCAAAACATTAATTAGACAAGCCTGTCTTATAAACATTCTTAAATTTATATACACTTACCACACCGTTGCTCTGATTAATGCAGTTTATATTAATTCTTGTTAAAAACCGTATTGCGGGCGGTTCATCGGGATATCTATCGCCGCATTCAATTTTTAGGGAATACATTCTATTTTCATAGGGTGTCTGAGGAAACAATTATAAGGGGAAATTGTACTCTAAATATTTAGAACCAACTAAGATTTGTCTTACTCTAGGAGGGCCAATTATCATGCCAATCCAGTGTGTTAATGTCATGTCATCGTCATTTTCGAGGCCCCATGAAATCGTGCCATCTCCAACACCTTTCTGGCCTTGATCCAACTCTTCCAGCAAGCGGAAATTTCGCGGAACCACTAAAACAAATTAATAATTTTGGAAAATTATTTAATATACCTATTAATAATATTTTCAATTTTTAATAAATAAATTTATATAATTGAATAATTTTCGTATATGTAAATTCAATAGTTTCCTAGCAAAATACATAGCCGAAAACAAAGATGAATGCCATAAACTTTATTTATTAATTATTGAATATTTTTTTTTTGAAAAGCGCGTTGATCACGCAAACTTCAATGAGTCATTAACGAGAGAGGGTGTAATGGGGGTATTGAAAATCAACAGTCTTTTTGAGTAACACGTAAGGACGTTGAAATATTTTAAATATTTTTTATTTGTAAAACAAAAAAAAATTCTATTTACATATTACTACAGTCTTTACGATAGAATATAAGATCAATATTTACGATTGAGTCACTTATGCCCACAATTTGCGTTCATGAAAACCTAAATACATATTTACAAAAAAATTAACGCTTGGAGAGTTTTTATTGTATTATGCGCTTCGTACTTATAGTGAACGGCCTTAAACCATGTAAGTGTTCCTCAAAATTTGAACCCTTCAATTCCTAATCTAATTAAATAAGGCCCTAAAAATGTAGAATGAGTATAGTGGTGGAATAATAACAGCAACAAAAGTTCATCAACTTGAAATAAAGACTAGATAAACTAAGAGAATAAGAACTATGAAAAGGTTGCGAAAATGTTAAGTCATGGTGTTTAAAGGACTAACAAAACCCGTAAATATTCTAGCATATATCATTAAGAGTTTAGGATATCTGTGATTCATTAATATTTCACATTACATTAATTAATTAAATGGTATTACGATTCTTGATTTTAAAACCATCATACACATTTTTGATATATGGTCCATGGTCACTCAGCCTATTGCGAATGAAACGCTGGTTATCGGCTGACTACATTCATTACTTATATATATGAAATAGTTGCTAACTTCCACCAAAAAATTAGACAAACTTAATTTCTTTACTAATAGCAGCCGTTTAACTGCTGCAAGTGCTAATATTTTTTACTGCATATTGCTGTCAGCGAGTGGAGATGTGAAAAATCAAAAATCCGACAAAAAAAAAACTTGCAAAGCTTCCGCAGTTCTCTATGGCACGTCACATGTTTTTGAAATGCTTCAATAAAATTCCTTTTTGAACCGAAAACATAAATATATTTTCCACACAGAACACTTTAAAATACTTCTAATGCACAATAATACACGTTTTTTTAATTTTTCACGAAAAATTTTCTTACCAACACCGGTGCTCGCCATTGTGGACTTTTGCTATTTTTGTTCCACCTTCTTCGCTCTAACTTTTTTGCTCGCCGTTAACTTTTTTCTTCTCGTCGTCGTCGAATATTTTCAACAATGTCGCGGAAGTGGCACCACTTGGCGAATATCTCTTACTCACTTTCTCTCTTGCTAAATAAAAGAATAAATTACGGGTGTGTAATTTTTCTGTAGATAACTATTTCCTTCACACACGAAGCACCTTCGATAAATACTGAACAATAACAATTGTCCAATGTCAAAAAATGATGCCAATGAGTTATCTAAAGCACCTCTTTTATTTCCTTTAATTTAATTAACATTGTAAATCCATAACTTCAACAAAATTTAGTAGTTAATCAGCAATGTGTGCAGTTTCTTTAAAACGAAAATGCTTTAGCAATAGATTTTCAACTTATAGAGTTGCCAATCACAAGTTAATGCACTAAACCGAATGTCAAACAAGAATGGTGCCATTACCCATGACCAATTCTTCAACAATACAGTGTTAATTAGATGAATTATACAATAATGTTATAATATATACTTTTTGGTTAACGCAGAAAAAGAAATGAAGCAGAATACAAAAGTTTCGTATACAATAGAATACTTATACAATCATATAAAATAAGACATCTAAGGCACAATGAATTGTGAAATGGGACTTAGTCCAATATTGTTGAAACTGCAATTTATGTTATGATTATTGCATTACTAAAAACTTTTTCTGAAAAAAATCAAGAAATAGATATATTTTTTTGCATTAACCTGCTCCCAACTCGATACCATACAAAATCTTTTATAAATCAAGCTCCAGAAGTTTATCAAAATTTAACAGGGCTACACTGTAAAGGGATCTTTCACTGCTTTACCTTTACCTACTGTTGTTCTAGTCAGCAATTTCCGTTTTCACTGAAATTCGATTATAAATAATGTAAATCCAAATACTTAATTTAAATGCTCTTTTGTGTCCTCTTGCAAAAATTTACAGGTTTTGTTTACTTTATATAATGCATTTAATTTTTTTTGCGCAAGTGTATACATACACACACACACACACATACATATGTAATTTCGAAAATCATTGAAAATTTGTTTGTAAAATGGCGAATTTCAAAAAAATGAACGTACAAATTTTATTGGCTTCGGAATTATTTCAATGCCAATGAGAATAACATAATAACTATAGAATAGACGTTGCTAAGAAAACTTCCGCTCTAACTATGTATACTCGCATGTACATACATATGTATTAGTTCTGATACCATAGTACAGAAGTTTCCACCGGATACCAAATTAAAATGTTTGTCTAATAAACAAGTGTTATAGCAATTGAAAATGTGTAGTATCCTCTCCCACAGTCCAATAGCAATCTTGTTTTTGTATCGTGTATAAAAATTTGATCGAAGTAATTCTCCATTTTTACGTTCCAATAAATTTCGAAAGTTTCCAAAATATTTTTAGTATATATTTTGAGCTTAATAAATCTGACCCAAATTGAAGTTTGCACGCATAAAATCAGTTATTTTTCATAACTATAAACCAATTAGTTTTTATATAGATAGAATTGCCGACATACTTACACATATAACATTACCAATATGGCGTATCATACAGTTATAACATTGGAGAAGCCTTTGCAGCATTTGGCATTATCCGACTGGAATGGTCGTGTAAATCAATTACGGAATGTGGCCGACGCAAGGCGGAGCGACGCTTTCAACATTCGACATAGTTCACGAACTCTGCGCAATGAGACACGCATCGAAGGCGATTGGACGAATTACGAAACTAATGAGGCGTTGGCAGACCGGTGAGCGGATGCAAACATATTGAATATTTAGCACTAAATACACATTTTGCATTTATCAGTATTGCTGAATTAGCGCGGTGGCGCGAAACCATCGCCAGAACATTCGAACGAATTGTGCGGGAAATGAAACTGCTCGAAGAGGAAAAAGCTTCTACGGAACGCGAACTTGAAGCCATGCAAACCCCTATTAGTGTTATTGCTGAATGTTTGACCATGCGCGATTGTCGTTTGGGGTCTGAGTTGACCTATGACGATGCGGATACAGAAATTAAAAACGAATTAGCTGTTATTGAAAATAATCAACGCCTTCTTGCCGATCAATGTCAGAGAGCTTGGGAGAAACTTAGCCGCTTAGAAGAGGTAAAATTCAAACTGGGGTTGGAAGTCGGAAACAAAGCGGAGGCTGAGGAATTGGACGTAGCCCAGCTTGATTTAAATAAATTTGCAGCCAATATTACCTACAAACCTGACCCAACGCGTAATCCTAAGAAGTAAGATTTACATTGCTTTAAGATTTAGGATGAATTAGTGATTTTGATTTTTGCGCTTTATAGTTGTTGCACCTATCAAGGGTGGTTGGAGCACACCAAGAATATGAAACAAATGGCTGAGAACGAATTGGCTGATACTTACGCTATACGAGAAGCCTTGTTTGTGTGCCGTGAAAAGGCTCGCAACATGTTGATAACACAACAGGAACGCGCTGAGCATGCCATACGCAAACGTATCTTCGAGACACAACGAGCACGCAATGAACTTCAGTGGCAACAAATGAAAGTAAGCTCTTCTATTTACTATAAAAATATGAATAAATCAAAATTAGTATAACAATCTGGGGTTAATGAAATCTCTCATAAATTTTCAGATGAAGGAAGAAATGGAGAAAGCTGTTTGTGAAATAAAAACGTTGGAGCAAGCTCTAAGAGATAAAACCGATGGATTGAAATTAGCGGAAACACGTTTGGAGAATAGAGCGCAACGTTCTGGTATGGAACTGTGCTTAGATGAGGCTCATGACCAACTTTGTTTGGAGGTTCAGAAATTGCAGGCTATACGACGTCGTTTAATGGACAAAATTGATGAATCTAAAGCAAATTACAATTTGTTGGAAGAACATGCACAAAAAATTGATGTTGATTTAGAGAACAAAGAACACTCCTTAATGACAGACATTCGTGCCTTAGATCTACGCAAGCGCCTAAAGGGTGGTGAGTTTGGCCAAAAGCAAACAACCTCGACTACGCAAACTGATCGTAATATTGTCCTTACTCAAATGGAGCATGAGATACCAAAAAATTAATTACTTTTTTCTTATATGTATGTATGCGATTTGATAACTTTGTCAAATATGTCCTTATTTTGTTATATTGATGTTTTTGAATATATAAATATAGATATGCATGCCTAAAATCTATGTCAATCGAGTTTACAATTTATTATTAAGCATTTACATTAAAATCTAATTCAATTTTACTTAATGTTGGTTTGTGCTGTAATGTCCATCGTATGCTACTTTTTCCGTTAATAACAGGATGACCTTGCTCAAATAATTGTACGCCTTGTCGAACGAACATATCCCATTTAATAAACTTTCCTGGCTCAATTGGTTCTACAGGGCCTGTATTTACAATAGATTTAGAACCTAATCCTCCATCGATATTCCATTCCACCCATAATGCGATCCCGTTGCATGTTCCATCACTACAAATGAAAATATACCTTTAAGACATCTCGTAGTCTGCCGGAGTAAAAATCATACCTTTCAGTTCGGATGTCTCCATTAGTAGACTGCTCCCTCTTAAAATTGTGGAAATCTACATTTAAAAGCTCTTGAGGTTTTGCCAACGCTTTGCAGGGATATTCCCAAAGTGGTTGCGCTTCAATTTTATGGTTAGGCAACTTTGCCCTAGCATCCTGCAATTTGAGTTATATCAAATATGTAGTTAACTAAATTTTGAAATTGCAAATTTCAGCTTTTACCTTAATCATTCGATCAAAAAGCTTCAAGTCAAACCCTTCGCATTGCTGCACAGGTGTTCGTATTTTGTGAAGGTCGGTAAATTGCACTGGAACTGCGAAAATTTTGGCGTAATGAGGTGTTATTTTTACTGTTGGTGGTAATTTCTCAATTATGTTTTCTAAAAGATTACCGAATTGAAAATTATCCCATGGAAGTATAGCATTAAAAAAGTATGGCTCTCCAAAAATATGGGTCAACTGAGATATCTTCGACTCCGCTAAAGTATTAATATTTTCGATAAATTGCACATTTTCTATATCATTATTTTTCACTACAGACTCCATGAAACGTTTAGAAAAATAGTGATTTTCGGAGATTACAACTGATGTAACACCCATTTTTGCTGCAGCCAAACCCAAAACACATCCATCGCCAAGACACAGCACTTGCGAGTCTTTGGTTAAATTATTCTCCAAGTAGTTTAGAAACTTTTTGTTACGCACCGACTGATTCATTTGACCAATTCGTGAGCGAGGATAAGCGAGGTGAAGATTACATGTACAAGCATGTCGTGAAATAGACTCATCCAACTTTTGCGAGCTATGCACGTCAAACCAAAGTGAATATTCATCGTGGTTACAACTTAACACAAATTTTTCTCCAGTTATGGAAATATGTTGTGGTTTTGGTATGTAATATATGGCTTGCATCCAATGATCACGCCAAGGTATTACGTCGTTTCTGCTTTTGTAGTCCGGATGGGCCCAATATGGAGCACAGCTCAACACTAAATTATCCCCGGAGTACATACTTATATCCCACCAATAGAATATTAGATCAGTTGAACCTGGTTGTAAGGCAATCATTTCAAGCAATTGTTGTCGTTGCACCGGCACCGGTGTTTTGGACTTTCTATTGAAATCAAATTCAAAAATTTCTGCTGGTTTTGTTAGAGGCAAAAAATGTTCCAAGCTTAGTTGTGAGAGTTGTATGTCATGTACTGCAGCATCACCTTTGCATTGCAATACATCTTTAGGCGGATTAAGCAGAATGTTGCCATCTAAATCAGCAACGATTTTCATAGTATTCCATTGTGAGGCCAATGGTGATTGTACAACTTGGGCATAACACGTCGCTTTTGATGGTATGCATACAACGTCGTCTGTTAAGAGTTCATCATGCGCGTGGTTATATATACTAATAGCACCTTCACCTATCAACTCTGTGTCTAATAACTCGGCCACCAATAGATTAGCCCTTTGCGGCATGTCAACACCGATACGCATTTCTGTCGATCGTTTCTTTACCAAACGCACTTTATTTCCAAATCCATTTGCCGTGAATATGCGTTCAGCGCAATTCGCCATAGGTATAAATGCCTCGCATGCGGTTACTGTATCAGCTCCGGCGGTTAATGCCATCATTGACAATATCCCAGTACCTGTTCCAATATCCAACACATGGGCTTCATGACCGTCAGCATGCATGCGAGCAATAGCCATTCGCAGTGCTTTGAAGTACTTTTGATTGCGCTCCTTGTCATGCAACATATCTCCAAATCCAGTGCATGTTAGCTCCATATCATAATCGTAATCATCGCTATGTTCAGCCCATTCGTTCTGCGCTGTCAAAGGATTAAAAACCTGCGTAAAAACTGCCATATGATTAAATTTTATACGGAATGTTTTGTATATGTTTTGAAGTAACTTTACACGCATGGAACTTTTGTTTGTACCATAAACTAACCAACCAAAATCTTGTGTTGACAACAGCTGTTTTGTTAATATTTTGGAACAATTGAGCTCAGTGTTGCCAAGTTTCGAGGTAAGTTTTAAACAAATGAGTACATACAATTATAGAACTCATTATTTTATTTACAAAAACCATTAGCAGATTTATTATATTTATTTTTACCAATAGGCGTTTAATCGTTTTATAACCTCTTTAATAATGTCAATATGGTTTGCATGTAATTTTATGGTGCTATCAATATCCAACCATTTTACGTTTGTGGCGTCATCACCTGCCGAGAGAGCCAATTTTCCCACCTGAGCTCCATTATCATCATGAAAATTATATGCAACTGTCTCCATCCATGCATTGTCTGTATTACGAAAATCATCTACATACCCTTTATATATTTCATTTCCTTTCGCGAAAAACTCTTCAATGACTTTTTGATTATCTGAATTTGTGGTGTTTGATATGATTTATCACAACGGATTCCACCGAAACTATTCAGGATTTACTCACCGAAACTATCTAAAGCTTCTTCCATGAATTCGCGTTTGAGAGTTGCGCTAATCTTCTCACCAGGATCAACCATCCCTCCTGGTATTGCCCACATTTTATTATCATGGCGTTGTATCGCGACCATTTGTAAAATTTTTCTGTAAACAAGTATAAATTTTCACATTTGTTAAAATACAATTATTCTTAGATACATTTACATTACTTTTGTGTATCAATATTTATAGATACGTTGCCATCAGCGTTGCGTTTCCATCGAGTAACTATCGGATCGGCTGCGTGATTAGGTCCCCATCGCCCTAGTAGTCCTCGACCGCTCAATCCGGTACGTCCAATAGGATTTATGGGAAGTCCATTTTCAATTTTGTAAATTCCGTTGAATGAAACACGATTTACAGCGCCATCTAGCTGATTCCATTTGGGTTGAAATTCGGCACAACCGACGTCCGGATCGGCCCAAGGTTGTCCATTTATGTGTGGCGCAGTATAAACGGGTGGCGAATAATTTACATACTCAGCTGACCAGTAGACTAGATGATCTGATACAGGAAAGCGTTGCAGAGTACTTTTTGGGTATATATTATTGCGGCAAGTAATGTGTTTAAATGGTCCTGCCTTTAGAATAGATGCCGACATTTTTAGTGAAACAACAACTTGAAGCAGATATAGACAAATGTATCTTTTGCGATCTCTGAGCAAATAATTGAAGAAACACAAGGTGAAAACAAACATTGCAAAAACAGGTTATACCAGAGAATGTAAAATACAGAGAATGTAAAATATACTATAATCAGAAAACGTAAAATATAGAGAATCTACATTTTCTGCTATAATCTACATTATCTGGTTATACTAAACGAACAGTACTCACAGATGCACCGGAAAAGTTTAGTGTACCAGTGCTACCAAGTTGAGAACAATTTATTTAGAATCCGACGGTTATTTGCAAATGTTATAAATGCTAAAACACAAAAGCACAAAAAAGCTACACCATATTATTTTCATTACATTTCTAAACGTAGGTGAGGGTTGTTTGCACGAATGCTCGTAGGTGCTTTATACTTCCGGTAAATTAAGGAACAATTGAGATGGTCTGCAGCTTGTGAACGTTTGTAATTTGTGCGAATTGTATTGTATCTCCAAGTTATTCAACTCGAGCCCGACCGAAGTTGTCATAAAAATACCTTTGTTATTTCGATTAAATCTCCGCCGAACAGAGTGCTTGGTGGTGTGTTAGTGTACACTTCTTATTATGTATGTATGTAGGTAAGCGTGCTCAAAAACGATGCTGTCGCAACTTGTAATAATTGGCTCGAAACAAATTTTAAGAAAGTGACTACCGTCTCGCATTTCATTTATTTTGCAGAGAGAGTCCCCGAGTAAGGAGCTCTGGAATTAACAGATTTTACTATTTATTATAAAGTACATTGTATATTATTTGCTTTGGGAGTTCTATGTTAAAAATCAAAGTGAGTAATGTTCTGCTAATGTTGCTGTACATCTTCTTTCTACTCGCCGTCCAAGCGGCAAAAAACGGATCACGTCGCAACGTTGTGCTTATCATTTTCGACGACTTGCGCCCTGCACTGGGCGGATATGGTGATCATTTGGCGCAAACCCCTCATTTAGACGCATTCATCAAAGAGAGTCATTATTTTACACGTGCCTATAGCCAGGTATGTATAAGCTCAAATAAGTGTACGGAATTTAAAATCCATGTGATTTTCAGCAATCGCTGTGTGCTCCTAGTCGCAACTCTCTGCTCACTGGCCGTCGTCCAGATACGCTGCATCTCTACGACTTTTACAATTACTGGCGTGATTTTACCGGAAACTTTTCTACGCTGCCACAGTATTTTAAAGCACACAATTACTACACGTATGGTATTGGAAAAGTTTTCCATCCAGGCATTTCATCAAACAATACGGACGATTATCCCTACAGTTGGTCGCTGCCTGTTTTTCGGCCACTGAGCGAGAAGTATATGAATTCACCAGTGTGCCCGAATGCTGGCGGTGTATTGCGGAAAAATTTAATCTGCCCCGTTCACCTACAAACTCAACCGCTAAAGACACTGCCTGACATTGAGTCTACCGCTGAAGCTATACGCTTTGTCGGTGCTTACAAGCGTCGTAGGCCATTTTTTTTAGCAGTTGGCTTTCACAAACCTCATATAAATTTCCGCTTTCCGCAACAGTTCATCGATCAATTTCGCCTCGAAGACTTCAATAATTATACGAAAGATACCAATAAGCCAAAGGATATGCCGAATGTCGCTTGGAATCCATATATAGATGTACGTTCACGGGATGACTTCAAATACCAAAACATTTCCTTCCCATATGGTCCGATTTCAGCGAGACATCGCTCCCAGATACGTCAGGCCTACTATGCCTCCGTTGCCTATGTGGACGACCTATTTGGGAAATTTATTGTACATCTAAATAAAAGCAATACCATCGTGCTAGTGACAAGTGATCATGGCTGGTCTTTGGGTGAACATGCAGAATGGGCCAAGTACAGTAATTTCGAGGTGGCTTTGCGCGTACCACTCATTGTTCGCACTCCGGAGTTCCCGACAAGCGCATCTCAGAACATTCAGACTATCGTTGAACTTATAGATATTTTTCCGACATTGGTGGACTTAGCGCATTTGCCGTCATTGCCATCGTGTAATGCATCAGCACCATTCAGCGAGAACTTAATTTGTGGCGAAGGCAAAAGTTTATACCCATTGCTGCAAGGAGTCGATACGAACGAGAAGTACGTGGCTTTAAGCCAATATCCACGTCCAGGAATAGAACCCACAAAGCATCCCAATAGCGACAAGCCGAAGCTTCCAAATATCAAGGTGATGGGTTACTCGATGCGAACTAACGTGTTTCGCTACACGCTTTGGGTGCGTTTCAACGCACATGACTTCAGTAAAGGTAAGCATGATATTTTATATTGAAAACCCCCAAGAATGGGACCTTTATTCTCCTTGGGGTGGAGAAGACATATTACAACATTTTATGTAAATACTTTTTCTGTTCTTAGATTGGAATGAAATATTTGGTGAGGAATTGTACGATCATCGCTTGGATAAAGGAGAAGACGTAAATTTGGCTAAAATCCCAGAGTTTCTTGAAATCCGCACGCTTCTGAAGCAACAATTAATAACTGCTTTTTCAAAATAACTGTGACATAAACAATTTCAATGGCGATCCCAATCGCCCTAGAAAAATTATGATATATAGATAAGCATTTAACCAAACTATCCGTTGTTTAATATTCCAAGGTTGTTTTTTGATATGTTTCTCCCTTAGTAGCCCCACTCTGTGCACTATTGAGTAAATATATCATAGCTCGTGCCATCTTGTTCCAACATTTGATGAAGTTCGGAAAACATAGAAACGACGACATGTTATTACTCGTACCTCAATTCACCCAAAATAAACACACCTCTAATTCCTTGAAACTTTATGTACTATACCGTTATCATATTGACTAGTTCCGTAATTGCTGCCGGTACGGTATTTAGTAGTTATTTGTTTAGTTTGTATGTATTAGATACTTTGGTGGAACCAGTTTGCAAGAGACTTATTCACTTATCAAATCTACCATTCCAATGCTTCAATGAAAGCTGCAAGTGTATAAATTGGCATTAAGAATAATAGAGGAGATTACTTTGAAGAGGATTAAATAGATATTCATGAATGGATAAACACTACTTACTTAAGAAATACAAAATTCACGATAAAAATAAAATTTCATTGGTCCTTGATTAAAACCTTAAACCCAAAATTTGTAAAATCCTTCAAGTAGCGTCGTTTCCCATAGATTGCACTGGCTCAAAACTTTGATAACAAATATATTGGCGTTAGAGTTGTCTGCCAAAGCTAATGAGATCAAAGTGTTTCATTACATAAAATTATAAATAAATCGGGTAATTTACCTTAGTATTTTGGCCTTTGTGATTGAAAAGTAAACAACGCATCTGAAACATCATGGCCACTTGGATCATAGTATTAGCGACAACTCAAAGTCCCATTGCATTAATTGGCGCCCAGATCTTCTAGATTTATTATTCAAAGCACGAATGTTGGTGAGATCAAAATAAAAACAATATTTAAGTAATATAACTGCATCAATAAAATATATATATTATTTATGAATATGTATGCACATAAATGGAATATTTAATAATCAATAGCGATGCAATTAATGAATTTCGCCGGATGAACAACTGTAGACTGGGAAGACTGTCTGCCTATTTCATTCGGTGAATGCTAATAATTGCACGCAATTTGAATTTGAATTAATGAAACTGGAATTTTCACCATTATTTAGAAATTAATGGCAAATACATGTGCTTTGTAAATAGTACATAAGTATGACCGTAATTTGCATCCTACAGGGAAGGTCCCTTATTTTGGGATATGATACCTATGAACTTATGGATATGATACGTTTATTATACCCTGAACAGGATATATTAAGTTGTCCGCAATGCTTGTAACACCCAAAAGGAAACGTCGGAGACCCTATAATATATATATCTAAATGATCAGCGTGACGAGCTGAGTCGATGTCCGTCTGTCTGTATATACACGTACTAATCCTTCAGTTTTTAAGATAACGATCTGCAATTTTGCAAACGTTCTTTTCTCCTCAAGAAGTTGTTAATTTGTCGGAACCGCCGATATCGGACCGTTATAGCATATACATAGCTGCCATACGAACTGAACCATCGGAATCAAGTGCTTGCATGAAAAACTCTTTCATTTGAGGAGATATCTTTGCGAAATTTTCGGTTATTGTCTAAAGCAATAATACAATCTTCGAAAAAATGGTTCAGATCAGATAACTATAGCATTTAGCTTCCATATGTATGTATTATAGCTTCGGTGCAACCAAAGTTAAGGTTTTTTCTTGTTTTAGATTATTAGCTTTACAATTTGTAGGATATTATCATTGACAAATTCCCAAGAAAATTAACACCAGATGGCAATGGCGCTAAAATCATAAGAATCGAAAATGTTGGAACCAAAGTGTTTTTATGTAAAGCCTCGGTATAATTGATTTTGGTATAAAGGCAATTTTTATATATGCATATATTATACTATACATATGTATGCATAAATATATTTATTCTGTGAAATTTTACAGTCACTATTATATGAAATTAACCTCAGTGTTGACCCTCAATTTGGGTGGGGGTGAGTAACTTAATCATGCAAGAAGGTCATATTAAGGAGCAACAACAACACCCGTATCGCCATTCGAAAGACATTCACCCGCTCACAAATGCTCCCACTCATGCTTACATACACACATATACATATGTAAATACATATACATATTTATATGCTGACAAATAGTAATTCCCATCTGCGCCAACTGTTTACAGTGTCACTGTCAGTGTCAGCGGCGGTGCAACTTTCGTCGGATCGTCTGCTCAAGACAGTTATGAATAACAAACGCGCAGTTCATAGGCAGGCGGCGCCTGTAGTAATTGCCAATATGGCATTTAATACACTCACTTGACACGTACATTTGCACATATTCACACCAACACACACACTCACTCACACTCAAACACTTGAATAGAAGCGTAGAAGCGTGTTCCAAATGAGAGTAGGACTTCATGGAAATGCGTCATTTAACGGCACCGATCTTGACATAGCGGGAATTTCACATAACGCCCACCGATGTCAATTCGATTAATTAATTAAACGCCGACTTTTGACACCCCGTCTATGACGGCTCGCAGGAGATTTTCGTATTTTTTTTTTTATAATAATATTGGCTGCCATACAGACGAAGATAAAATTACATCCCAGCGGGAAAGAATTCGTGACCATAAATATGGACAATAACAGGCGAATAAAAGTATTGAATCATGGCAGCCTACCATTACAATGCAACATACACACATTTTCAACAATCGTCAGTTGAATTCTATCACGGTTCCTTAAGAATACAATATTAAAAATATATTTCAGTTGGAAGAACGGAAGAATGTTTAGAACGGGTACGAGAGGCTGTCTTGTAAAATGTTACGGAGACCTCATTCACATTCAAATAAAAAGCGAGTCAAAAGAATCTCATAAACCGCTCTCAAAGCCAAAACTCGCGTCACATTACTCGCATTCGCATAAGAACGATCACTTCAGCAGCCAGAGAGTTGCAAAAAGAAGACGTCGAAAGTTCTGAAAATCGTCAAGGTAGTAAAAACGGTAAGCATGAAGTGAGACTGAATGAGAATATTTATGAACGTACATACTATGTACATATGTATGTTATGTAAGCTTGTATGGACGTGTGGAGTGACGAAGAGCAGCATAGTTAAGAAAAAGAAGAAGAAGAAGAAACGTTTAATGACCTTAAAGGACGAATGAAGCAAAAACAAAAGTTGAAATTTAAACTCGAACAACAACCAACGCAAGAGTAAAAAGCAAACAACGGCATAAAACGAGCCAACGCATACTACACGCATGCAAAACAAGCCACAAAGCACGAGAACTACAACAACAATACTGGCAATATCGATAAGCAGTGGCAGCCACTGCAATAAAAGCTGAGATTTCTCTGAAATGGGTAGAAGAACGAAAAGCAAAAATAAGAATATACCGAAGTGTGTCTGCATGTGTCTTCATGTGTATGTTTATGACAGTAAACAGAAGAGAAACAGAGCTAAAGCAGAAACGGTGAAATATTAAAGCAATAAATTGTTGTTGCACATTAAGGGTGATCCAACTTCATTTAAGTAAGCAGTTTGCTTCAGCAAGATTTGGAAAACTTGAATGTCCGAGCTTTCATTAGAAGAATAAGATTTCAGGAAATCTAACCGGCTGTAGCTGTCAGTCTTGCACTCTGTGTAAACAACGATCTGTCAAAACGACGGGACAAACTACTATCTACATCAAAATCGTGGTTGTTGAATTTGAGAAAGTTTGACTTAAATGATGTTTGATTCTTAGGGACGTAGAGGGATATCAAACGAATTACATTCGATGAACGAATGTTATGGTAAATATCGGTAAAAATAACGCTTTAATATCTTTGACTGAAGACATGTATTCAATGTTCGAATTATGTGTATACACAAGTCCCAACTTGTTATAAGCCGATATTCATTACGAAGCCGGTAATGAACATTAAGTAATCCCTTCATCATCTTTTCGCTGATTGTCACGATCGTCATCACGGTCATATTTTTGCTGCGAGCACTCTGACTTGACGTTGTTGCCGTCGTTGATGAGGTTTCATAGCGAGTATTTATTGTTCCTCTGCGTGTGTTGGTATACACCTATGTACTAACATACATATGTATGTAGCTCCCACTTTACCGGCCACATCTCCACTTCAAACTTTTGTAGGTGTTAGTATATACCTGTGTATAGGCGTTTGTATCTTTAACATGTAAATGTAGGTGTGTGTAAGTGCGGCATTTTGGATTCACTCCATGCAGTTCGGGTATGTAGCTATTCGCTTTGGCGTATTTGCTGCGCGGCATGCCTGACTACTGTGCTACGCAAAGTATTGCCGGAGCACGCGTTCGTCCACGTTGTTGTTGTTGTTGGTATGAGCGCACATAAAAGACCTAAAGACCCAAAAGATAAGAAAAAGAAACTCCAAAATAAGCAAGTACGCTTCGGGCAATCAGTTCAGTAGAAATGAAAGCAACAACAACTACAAAAGTGAACAGCAAACACCAAAAGCAACATGCAACAAAATCAGATTTTTTTCTTCTTTTATTTATAATTATAATAAAGTTTTGAATCTTTCCACTTTTTTGCTTTATTCATCAGTTCCACTTATTCTGTTTTTATATAGTAAAATTGTTTTTGCATTTTCTCGCTAATGATTGTTATTGTGCCTTAGGAGACACATATAACGTATCTATATATGAGTGTAGGTATGTAAGCTTTTTCGAAATATTTGTAAAAGACAAATTCGGTCAAACATTTAATTATTTACTTAAAAAGTCCGTTACCTGAAACGCAATAGGTCGAGGATATGTCCTCATAATGATACAATTTTTAACATTTCGTGTTCCATTATTGTTATGTATTAAATAAATACGATTAGTTTAGTGGTAATAATTTAACCTTTATATGTAGCTAGAGGGATTCAAAAATCTCGAAGCATTTTGGACATGAGTGGGTTGTTTCCAATCATTCTTTTTCCTATAGGGTATGTTGCCGGGAGAACGATTTTGATTGCAGTTTTTAAATTGAATTTGGACTAGCATGACTTTACTTTAAAGAAACACTTCAGAGAAAGCGCAACCATTCACCCACGAATCAGAGGACCCTCGCGCTACTTCGTTCCGGATACTGTAGCAGGTTAAACTCCTACTTATCCAGAATTGACCCCGACACACTAAACACATGTCCTGCGTGCAATGAGTCTCCGCATGACACTAACCACCTCTTTGCATGCCCAACAAACCCCACCCATCTAACACCTTTCTCCCTATGGCCCGACCCCGTCGAAACAGCTCGTTTCCTGGGCCTCCCGTTAGATGACCTCGACGACAACGAATCTGGAACTTATCACCCAAACTGGGACTAGGTAACCGTTACAACAACAACAACCCACGGATCAGAGCGAATAACGGTTTCCATGTCCGAGAAGGGAACGGTAAGTAGTACCTTTGAAAAATTGACCAGCGTTATTCAAAACTAATACTTGTAAAGTTTTTAAATAGATGCTTTGCTAATTGCTTTGGAAAGTAAGAAAAAGCTATAGAAAAAATTAGACGACATTATTAGGAATATAATATAATAAATAAAAAAACTATTATTATTATTTTTAATTTTTCTCAGCTTTTCTTTAAAGAACTCCGACTGCAAAAGCTGCCATTGGCTTAGTCCACTCTACAGCGTTCTTATTGATATCAATTTTCGCCTTTGTGGATACATTTGTTGTAAACATAATTTTTGCTTTTTTCTCGCAATTGTAGTTATTGTTTTTAATTGTGTTGTGAGACGTGCGCTTGATTAACCCCAGTGCGACTTACAAGCTTGCTGACGACCGCTTTATTTGCTCGTGTGTTTGTATGTATTTGTTATCATACAACATGAG